ATTGGTGACTGACTAAATACTTATTTTCCCCACTGTACCTTTAAATTACACAATATTTTTAGCGGAGAAACTTTTAAGTTTGGTAAAAAAAAAAGGATACAGTAAAAATAAATTATTATTTTTTTGTATGCAGAAAACTTCCTGTTCTATAATGTTTTTAAATAAATGTATCAAAGCTCCTCAGTTGAAAACACTAAAACAACAACCTCTCTTCAGAAAGTCTTCAGTCCTAAGACAACAAAGTGAGGGAATACATCTGCAGCTCATTGTGAAAAGGTTTTGCTGTTCTCACACACATTTAGCAACACAAAAAAGCACATTACGTGTCCTTCAAAGATTCTAAACAGTAAATGACAGCATCTTACTTTTTGCCACAGCAGGCGGAGGAGGCTGGAAGCCACCAAGTGGTATGCCGATGTGGCTCATCCTTTTCACCAGGTTGGACACCTTACTTGGCTCTTTCTTCGGAGGCTCACTGGTCTTATTTACCTCATTTGTTGTTTCCTTTTTAACTACCTAAAAATTCAAAATAAAAAAATGAACAAGTTGTTAGCAATGACTTTTTTATTTTTGCATTTATCTAGTTATCTACTTCCTGTACCAGTTTTGTCCTGTTGGGGGCCAGGCAACAGGATGGACAGGTCATCAGTTTGTTACAGGGTCAAGACAAAGACACAAATGAAGCCAAGCACAATTACACTGAAAAATATTTAGAGACCTAAAAAAACACTTGGAAACGATAAGAGGCCAGAGCAATTCTGTGACTCCCCACCCCCCTGCTGCTCTCAGATTGAGTGACAAGCAGCCTCAGGGCAGCAGATATTTTCCCATACCTCTCTTTGACTAGATGTATGTAAATGCTCCCCACTACCATGTTAGTTAAATTATTATTTACTCAACCCATAACAAACTAGCCCCCACAGCCCAAATTACTATATACCCTAGGATTTTCAAACGTTTATACCACACATGAAATGATCCAAACCATCTAACCCTGACAGTGTGCTGTTTGGTGGCATGGTGTGTACCACACTGAACGTGGAGCACAGGAAGCCAAGGAGAGAGTTGTCCCAGGAGATTAGAAAGAACATTATAAACATGTTAAAAATAAAGGCGATAATACCATCTCTAATCAGCTTGATGCTCTTCTGACTACAGCTGCACATATTATTCAGAAGTTTAAGGACCATAGGATTGGAGACAACCTCCCTAGCCGTGGGCACAGGAGGAAAATTGATTACTCTTAAATGCCATGTAGAATTATTAGGAGATATACAGTATATATA